CAGTCAAATTTCTATCCCACCCCAAGGACTACATGTTTTGTTTAGGGTTATTCCAGTCAAACTTCTATCCCACCCCAAGGACTCCAGGTTTTGTTTAGGGTTATTCCAGTCAAACTTCTATCCCACCCCAAGGACTACATGTTTTGTTTAGGGTTATTCCAGTCAAACTTCTATCCCACCCCAAGGACTCCAGGTTTTGTTTAGGGTTATTCCAGTCAAACTTCTATCCCACCCCAAGGACTACATGTTTTGGTTAGGACTATTCCAGTCAAACATCTATCATATCCCCAAGGACTACATGTTTTGTTTAGGGTTATTCCAGTCAAACATCTATCCCACCCCCAAGGACTACATGTTTTGTTTAGGGTTATTCCAGTCAAACATCTATCCCACCCCCAAGGACTACATGTTTTGTTTAGGGTTATTCCAGTCAAACATCTATCCCACCCCCAGGACTACAGGTTTTGTTTAGGGTTATTCCAGTCAAACTTCTATCCTGTCCCGTGGACTACATGTTTTGTTTAGGGTTATTCCAGTCAAACTTCTATCCTGTCCCGTGGACTACATGTTTTGTTTAGGGATATTCCAGTCAAACTTCTATCCTGTCCCGTGGACTACATGTTTTGTTTAGGGTTATTCCAGTCAAACTTCTATCCCACCCCAAGGACTACATGTTTTGTTTAGGGTTATTCCAGTCAAACTTCTATCCCACCCCCAAGGACTACATGTTTTGTTTAGGGTTATTCCAGTCAAACTTCTATCCCACCTCAAGGACTACATGTTTTGTTTAGGTTTATTCCAGTCAAACTTCTATCCCACCCCAAGGACTACATGTTTTGTTTAGGGTTATTCCAGTCAAACTTCTATCCCACCCCAAGACTTCATGTTGAACTTTGACTTGTCTCAATGGCACCAGGAGAACTGGAGAAGTTTATGATGTTTTCAAGATGACGGCCCGATCTGATTTCTGTCAGAGCTGGAAAATAACACATTTTCAGGATCACTTCATCTCAATCTCTCTGTTGGGACTTAACAATAAGTGTAAAATTTAAATATTTTACACATGGCATACCATGGTGGATGAAACATGATGACTATATGTTGATCTGACACGAAACCCTGACCCTTCATATGGTTAAAATCATAACCCGAGGAAGAAAAACCTGAGGAAGGAAATTTCCATACACAATCAAAATCCTAAGAAACAAAGGTCAATAACACCTTCAAACTACCGTGCAGAATTACTCATCTTCCATGTCATGGTGATTAAGCCTGCTAGGTTTGAAAGAAATTGAAAGTAAACTGAGAGAGCTGACTTATGGACAACATTAACATTATGAAAACAAGGGGCAGTAACTCTTTCAAATATAGTTGAATCATACAGCTATTCAGGAAAATATAATTTCATATACGGGCGATTAATTTCTCAAAGTTTGAAAGAGATTGGTTAAAAGCAGTGGGAGATTTCCTGGTACAAATCACACAATGAAAACAAGAGGAGGCGATCACACTTCCAAAAACAGTAAAATCAAAGTCCCATTCCGAAAAGGCCAACTTCACGTCATAGTGGTTATAAGGCCAACTACATGTCATAGTGGTTATAAGGCCAACTTCATGTCATAGTGGTTATAAGGCCAACTACATGTCATAGTGGTTATAAGGCCAACTTCATGTCATAGTGGTTATAAGGCCAACTACATGTCATAGTGGTTATAAGGCCAACTACATGTCATAGTGGTTATAAGGCCAACTACATGTCATAGTGGTTATAAGGCCAACTTCATGTCATAGTGGTTATAAGGCCAACTACATGTCATAGTGGTTATAAGGCCAACTACATGTCATAGTGGTTATAAGGCCAACTTCATGTCATAGTGGTTATAATGCCGACTTCATGTCATAGTGGTTATAAGGCCAACTACATGTCATAGTGGTTATAAGGCCAACAACATGTCATAGTAGTTATCAGGCCAACTACATGTCAACTACATGTCATAGTGGTTATAAGGCCAACTACATGTCATAGTGTTTATAAGGCCAACTCCATGTCATAGTGGTTATAAGGCCAACTTCATGTCATAGTGGTTATAAGGCCAACTACATGTCATAGTGGTTATAAGGCCAACTACATGACATAGTGGTTATAAGGCCAACTACATGTCATAGTGGTTATAAGGCCAACTACATGTCATAGTGGTTATAAGGCCAACTACATGACATAGTGGTTATAAGGCCAACTACATGTCATAGTGGTTATAAGGCCAACTACATGTCATAGTGGTTATAAGGCCAACTACATGTCATAGTGGTTATAAGGCTAACTTCATGTCATAGTGGTTATAAGGCCAACTACATGTCATAGTGGTTATAAGGCCAACTACATGTCATAGTGGTTATAAGGCCAACTACATGTCATAGTGGTTATAAGGCCAACTACATGTCATAGTGGTTATAAGGCCAACTTCATGTCATAGTGGTTATAAGGCCAACTACTTGTCAGTGGTTATAAGGCCAACTACATGTCATAGTGGTTATAAGGCCAACTTCATGTCATAGTGGTTATAAGGCCAACTACATGTCATAGTGGTTATAAGGCCAACTTCATGTCATAGTGGTTATAAGGCCAACTACATGTCATAGTGGTTATAAGGCCAACTACATGTCATAGTGGTTATAAGGCCAACTACATGTCATAGTGGTTATAAGGCCAACTACATGTCATAGTGGTTATAAGGCCAACTTCATGTCATAGTGGTTATAAGGCCAACTACATGTCATAGTGGTTATAAGGCCAACTACATGTCATAGTGGTTATAAGGCCAACTACATGTCATAGTGGTTATAAGGCCAACTACATGTCATAGTGGTTATAAGGCCAACTACATGTCATAGTGGTTATAAGGCCAACTACATGTCATAGTGGTTATAAGGCCAACTACATGTCATAGTGGTTATAAGGCCAACTACATGTCATAGTGGTTATAAGGCCAACTACATGTCATAGTGGTTATAAGGCCAACTACATGTCATAGTGGTTATAAGGCCAACTACATGTCATAGTGGTTATAAGGCCAACTACATGTCATAGTGGTTATAAGGCCAACTACATGTCATAGTGGTTATAAGGCCAACTTCATGTCATAGTGGTTATAAGGCCAACTTCATGTCATAGTGGTTATAAGGCCAACTTCATGTCATAGTGGTTATAAGGCCAACTACATGTCATAGTGGTTATAAGGCCAACTTCATGTCATAGTGGTTATAAGGCCAACTACATGTCATAGTGGTTATAAGGCCAACTACATGTCATAGTGGTTATAAGGCCAACTACATGTCATAGTGGTTATAAGGCCAACTACATGTCATAGTGGTTATAAGGCCAACTACATGTCATAGTGGTTATAAGGCCAACTACATGTCATTGGTTATAAGGCCAACTACATGTCATAGTGGTTATAAGGCCAACTACATGTCATAGTGGTTATAAGGCCAACAACATGTCATAGTGGTTATAAGGCCAACTACATGTCATAGTGGTTATAAGGCCAACTACATGTCATAGTGGTTATAAGGCCAACTACATGTCATAGTGGTTATAAGGCCAACTACATGTCATAGTGGTTATAAGGCCAAACTTCAGTGGTTATGCCACTACATGTCATAGTGGTTATAAGGCCAACTACATGTCATAGTGGTTATAAGGCCAACTACATGTCATAGTGGTTATAAGGCCAACTACATGTCATAGTGGTTATAAGGCCAACTACATGTCATAGTGGTTATAAGGCCAACTACATGTCATAGTGGTTATAAGGCCAACTACATGTCATAGTGGTTATAAGGCCAACTACATGTCATAGTGGTTATGTTGACCAGGTTTGAACAAAATATAAGATGAAAACTGTGGGAAGATATCTCTGTACAAATGATGGACAGACAATGCCATACAATTATACATCAGGTCAAAGCTTTTTTATGGGCATATAAAATGGAATATTATCATAAACATCACATAAAACAAAACATCATATTCACTCTGTTTGGTTTTATTATGTACAAAAATCATCCTGCATATTTACACACAAACACACGTTTTCCATAAATTATTTTTCAGGTACATTCACAATAACAGTAACATAAATATAGAATCTTAAACAAGTAACAAAGTATCCAAAACGTCACTACAGTATTCTAATATCTATACTTATTCTAATGACAACAGCAGAGAGGTTCTGAAAGAGTAGATTGGATAGAAATGAGAATATACTGTTTTGTTGAATACTTTTACTGCGGAAAAAACATTCAGAAAATCAGAAACCTCTTAAAAGACAACATAAAAGTGTTTAACTTTCCATCTCTAATTACGTCTCTTGTTCTAAATTAAAATAGCAACATTGTAACAAGTTGATAGCTGCTCTTCAGTCTCAGTCATGGTTTATATCGTAATTATTTGGTCAACTGATGGATGTAACCCCAACAATTCTAGAACATTAATTATACAGTCTTCCTATTCAACATGTACTGTTATAAACTGAAAATTCAAGTTTTATACTGATGATGTAACCAAGAAAGAGTTTAAATGACGTCATATGTTAATGGACAAATAAACAATCTGAAAAATTAAAACTATGATAACAATGATTATAATTTATCATAATTAATTAATAAAAAAATAGATAAACAGTAAAAGCTCTGAACCTATAAGATGTCTCTCCGGTCAAAATCTAATTTACAAATAATTCATTATGATTAAAGACTATGTATATTGATACACAATGAATTATAACTTGTTGATATTTTGACACTAAAATGATATTTCAGAACTACCTTAATTAATAAAATAAAAAAATACTATAAACAGTAAAAGCTCTAAACCTGTTGATATTTCTGACACTCCGGTATGAATGACACTAATGTATGATTACAACCTGTATAATTGCCACACCTTATGATTAAACAGACCTGTATGATGTTTCCCTTACACTACATATTTCCCTGACACTACCTGTATGATGTTTCCCTGACACTACCTTTATGATGTTTCCCTGACACTACCTGTATGATGTTTCCCTGACACTACCTGTATGATGTTTCCCTGACACTACCTGTATGATATTTCCCTGACACTACCTGTATGATGTTTCCCTGACACTACCTGTATGATATTTCCCTGACACTACCTGTATGATATTTCCCTGACACTACCTGTATGATGTTTCCCTGACACTACCTGTATGATATTTCCCTGACACTACCTGTATGATATTTCCCTGACACTACCTGTATGATATTTCCCTGACACTACCTGTATATGATGTTTCCCTGACACTACCTGTATGATATTTCCCTGACACTACTGGTATATTCTCCATACAACAAGACTATTGCCACATTAACACCCTAGTGCACCAAAAGTCTCTAAAACTTAATTTTAAGTGTAAATGTGTCTTGATTTAACATACAATTAAAAAGCAGGATTTTTCAGTTGTCAGCTAGCTAATTCTAACTTAAATTCACTTTAACATTTTTCGCAGATTAGATATTTTTCAGAAATTTTTGGAAGCAAATTACAATTATCTCACGTGAGAGGGCCTGTTTTGCTATTTTATGAACATCAAATCTAAAAAAAATATATATATTTGATAAAATTAATTTATCATTTCAGAAGTCAAATGCATGGTAGAACATTTCTTGTCCTGGCATTCCAATGGACTATTTTAAGAATACAGGGTTTCTATGAAACTCAACTATTAGAAGTTTATATGTAAGTTAATTAAATTATTCAAAAAATTGTGCTAGACATAAGTCAGATGTTTCATCATAATGTATCTGCCTGTAGTAATTTAGTACTGACATCTACTATGAACAAATATATATACCAGTGACCAGAGGTATTCTGTCGTTACTGATCTACTACAAATGTTCATGTATTATTTCGTTCCCTGATTATATAAGTCATTACCTGAAGCCTATCTATGCAGTCTGTATAATGGTCAGTGTAAGACCATGGCAATAACCCATGTATTATTCAATCCGTGGTTAACTGTTAGCTAATGTGTATTAGTATTTTATCAGTCAATTAACATGGCTAGTATAAATACGACCACATCTCTAACCAGTATGTATCTGAGTGTTCCATCTCTTCATAGCCTACATCACAATAAACATACAACACTCAAACTGCGTTTGGACTTCTTCATCTTCACTCATCACCACACAAAACAAACTTCATTTTAAAACATTTGAGTTTCCACTTGCCTCATCTAATTATATTACTGATTATAAATAATCCATTCATGGCTTCACACTTTCATCATTTAACTTCAGACATGTAAGATTTTCAGGAGAATAAATAAAATTGACATGTACCCTTTCAAAAAGTAGGGTGTAGTAACCTTATGACTGTATGGAATACCCTGTGACTACATGGAACATACACAATGCATGTTGTTAATGCATTCCTCCAGTTTTACTGGTAAAGGATTACAAAAAGGTCATTACATTATTCTAAAGACGTGTTTCCACATACGAAATTGGCTTCACAAACAATAATTTAGACAAAGATTTCTCTTATTCCCACAAATACAGAAGTCTACAGCTGTTAAAAAAGTTTAACAATGAACATATCCTGAAAATAAAGGAGTAATGTAAATTTTCTGCTTTTTGTTCTGTTTTTAAGAAATCAATTCAGCCCCAAAAAGTACACCTGCTGGAATTACATGAATGTATAAATTTCAAAAGTTTTGAAAGTAAGTTAAATTACTTTAGTTTCACTGTAATAAAAGCTTACTATGTCTCAACGTATGAATTGGTTTAGCCTCTAGCTATTTTAACCTCATTCTATTTCATTTTAGCTAATTAAAATTTGTTTATGTACTTTTTCTTGTATTATCTAGCACTTAATAACTAAATACAGTAATTAAGATATTTGTTTTAATCAAGTTTCCTCCCTGATGTGCTTCATACTACAGTAACTAAATGACATGCCAGGGTTAGATAAATTAATCTTTATGCACACTCCATCTGCTATCTAAGACACCCAGCAAGCCAACAATGTTAAATTGTCAATGATTGGTCCATACTCATTGTACTAGGTACATGTACATATGTAACAAGGCATTCTACTGGTTGTTGTGTAGCAATCAAAAAGGTCTCTGCACTAGTCTATCCCATAATGCATTGCGATCCCCCTGTCTAAAAGTCTGCATTGCACTATGAAAGAGATTGCTAACTGCATATGAATATTGCTATCAAAACCTGCTATGACATATGTATCTAACATGATATGTGATTATCTTAATCACTAACAAATCAAAAAGATAGTTTCTTGTCACTTTCATCAAAAAACTTGTTGTCTTTGTGTGCGAGATTCTCTGGTAGTTCTAACTTTTCTTTGGCGTGGGCTATATCAGCATGGATTTCTGTAACAAGCTCATCTGAAAAGAAATAAAAACAAAATTGAAGGGTATGAATTTATTTTAAACACGACAATTACAAAATGTTACAGCAAAACACTTAATCACACTAAAAAACCTGGTTTCAATATACATAAACCCGGTGTGACTACCTATCTGATGATATCTGGTCAGAGTCCTTCAACGTGAAGTGGGACAGACAAGTAATACTGGATATCACCATGTTTTTTGATGTGTAATTTCTCAGAAATTTTAAAACCTATTTAATTCAATTTAAGTGTAATTCATCTTTTTCAATTTTATCGTCTCAAAATAGACTTCATTCTTTTGTGATTTTGACAGGGTTGCTAAATCCACAAGTGATAAGATACAGGCTAATAGACATGATGATCAGGTTGACATTACAAAATCAGTTGGAATCACTGTAAATATACACAAGGGTTAAGGAACATATTACATCAGAATCAAGTAACACCAGTTTGATTTTATGCAACAGCAGTATATATGTGGGCTTATTATCAGACATGGGCTTATTACTGGATAAATACAATTATCAAAACAATACTGAAAAATCAGAAATTTTCATTAAATTATCTAAGTCAGTGATACAAATATATCGTAACAATGTTCAACTTAAGGGAATTTCCATTTAGTTTCACTGTGAAATTAGTGAAGAATGTAATTCAATAGCTATATAAGACCAATTTGTCAACTTGCAGTTTTATAATAGACATCACTTTTCAGAATTAAATTTTAGGAAGTAGTTAAAAACCTTTTCAGTTCAGATCAAATACACGCCAATTTATTTTTAATGCAAATTAGTAGATTCGTTAAAATTAGGTTGGATAATTAAGGTGGTAATTGGAGAAGTCACTACACCAACTGACATTGATATGTTTCCTATTACCTGCTATAGTTTTGCAGAATTTATTGGAGAAATTATACTTCAGATTTTTTTAGAAGCAATTTTTATTATATAAAGTATTTATCATATAATTTGTATTAGATAAGTAAGTAAGCTGATATGGTCTGATGTATCAACCTTCTCTCCCAATAAACACTCTTTGTCATTTAAGTTAATACATTATATCATGTTCTTTGGGCTTAAGTTTTTCACACAGTAAGGTGATGACACACCAGAGTACCCCCACTCAGTTGCTGTGAGATGTTCCCTGAACCCTGTAACACAAACCAGGTATACACTAATTATTGGCTAGTGTACCCAGACATTACCCGAGGCTGATATCTGTAACAGGGGAGGAGTTAGAAACAATAGGAGTATCAAGTTGATGAAGTGGGAAAAGATTGAAGGTATTTTTCTTTCAATTATTTTTTACTCAGAAATGTTGTGATCAAAATTGTTTTTTAAAATTAAGAATACTTCAAGAAATATATATAAAAAGCTCTAAATGCTGATTGCATACTTACTCAAGGCAAAAGAGGGTTTTTTTTTTATTATTTTTACAGAAGTTAACCAAGACCTCATCCAATTTTTTTTTAAAATAATTGCTTAGTTTTGCTTTCACATAACCCTTTAATTTTTTTTAAATTTCCTCATAATTTCCTCAGTAGTTATTATCTTTACTTTTGTTTGCTGTGAATTTTCAGTTTACTGAAGGCTCCATAGATACAACAGTAATAATACAGAAATATACATGTATAAATGTACCATTATTGTGAATTATTGGTAGCATACATGTCACAAATGCTTACATATTAAAACTTTAAAAAGTTCACTGTTAAAAAGTCACTGATGAACCAGACATATAATGTTTAAAAATGTTTGTCTGAAAAGGAAGTTCTGCAAATATATGCAATATATCTGCATTGTTATCGTCATTGAAGTGGAGACGTGCTAAGTGTGTAATATACTACAAATATACACACATTATTTATCATGCTAATAATGTTAAACCTATCACTGATGTGCATCATTTTAACAATGATATTGTTACTTCCCACACAATAATATTGATATATCCCACACAATAATATTGATGTATCCCACACAATTATATTGTTACTTCCCACACAATAATATTGATATATCCCACACAATAATATTGATATTTCCCACACAATAATATTGATACTTCCCACACAATGATATTGAGACAGGAATGATATAAAATAGATTTATAAATCAATATGTGTTTAAAATTTCTAACTGAAATTCTGTGGTGAATTTCTGAACTGACATGTTTTTAAAATTATTTCTTCATTTTGGAATAATTTTTATTTACACACACATTACTCATGCAGACACATTTGCATAAAGAAAAAATAAAGTAAAGAAAGAAAAAATGTGAAGTTCATTTCATTCCTATATTTGCTAGTTTGTCACCCAAGTTTCATATTATAAATTTCTTTTATAGATAAAAGCCCAATGTAATAAAGAGCTTCAGACGTGGAAAATACTTAAAGATCATATTTGACAAACTTTATGTGTCCTGAATTGATAAACAGAAAAAAGTTGACAGGAATTATAGGTCTAGTGGGGTTTGTGATCAAGATTTATCAACAACAATCTAGTGTATATACTTGGAAGACGTCAAAATTTGAGCCCCATAGACATTTATGATTTTACAGTGTACTAGATGTGGAGAATGTTTTTACGTATTTACTGGTACAAACATTCAGACAAGTGACAGGTGTTTTCATGAATGTATATACAGTATCAGTACAGTGTAACTTATAAAAAAAGAAACAGAAATTATATTCTGTGTTGTATTATACTAATTTGTACAAGGACGCAAAACATTAGAACGGTGAAATGGAATAAAATATTTATCAACAAAAATTCACAGCAATTCCATTCATATTAAACTGGATTTTTGTCTAAAATTTTCAATTATTAAGCTAACAAAGCTGTATTCAAGATTTATTCAAAACTTAAAGATAATTAAAAACTTTGTACTATCCATAACATCTAAAGCAATAAATGACAGCTGTTGTATGTAGTGTAAACATACCCAAATAGTAACTCACATGATTCATTCACAAAACAGTTAGACAAGTACACTGTATTTCTGGTTCCCTTTAACAGTGGGATTGCCTGAAGGAATTCATGTAATTTTCATTCATTCAAGCACAACATTTCCATTAACAGTACAGATATATCTGTTTAGCACTAAACAAACATCATATCTATCCCTTCCTCAGGGTGAACTTGGATTTAATCTTATGACTGGTACCTCATATATATGCTGTATTCAAAAAAATAGGCACACATGCCCCATATTAATCTGTGCCGTTTCTTTTTCCGGGAAATAAGGATGGGTGCATTTAAGAAAAGTTATCCTTAAAAATTATCTTGAACGATCATGTAATATTTACAGTTCGCAAGTGATCCACCTCCTATTTTGCTGCATAATTCCTTTATCCTTTACGATGCATGGTTCATAATGGGGCATCATCACAAAGTTGACATTAACCAGTGTGACATTGCATCATTACAAAGTTGACATTAACCAGTGTGACATTGCATCATCACAAAGTTGACATTAACCAGTGTGACATTGCATCATCACAAAGTTGACATTAACCAGTGTGACATTGCATCATTACAAAGTTGATATTAACCAATGTGACATTGCATCATTACAAAGTTGATATTAACCAATGTGACATTGCATCATTACAAAGTTGACATTAACCAGTGTGACATTGCATCATTACAAAGTTGACATTAACCAATGTGACATTGCATCATTACAAAGTTGATATTAACCAATGTGACATTGCATCATTACAAAGTTGATATAAACCAAATTTCCTCAAGTAGACAGAAGGTCAATGCAGTTGACTGAGCTGTTAAAAACTGTTTTATTAATGGTTAAAAATCAGTAAAATGAATTTTAAAAACAACAGGTGGTAGCGATAAAGCTTCCTTTGTGACACGATCTGCTTTTACATTGCCTGGTGTTCCCATGTGCCCAGGAACCAAGCAAAAAGCAATACAAAAGTTTTAGGCAAGTTCATGATATAGTATTAATGTATTACGAATGAAATTATTTTCGATATTTCTATTGCTAAGACTATGTAGTACAGGAAGAGAAACTTTATAGGTAACAGCTCTCATTATTTTGTTTGAATATGTTCAAAGATGAGGTAGATAGCTCATGCTTCACCATTGCTGGGCAGCCAGCATCCATAGGCTTCATCTTGTGTAACAATGGCTGTTGCAGCCTTATCATTATCAATTGAGCCATCAGTATATAAATGTAGAAATATTTTAACTGCAATTTCAAGAAGGACAAACAAAAGGGTAACTGTTTGTGACTGATTTAACCATTTCATGAAGTGAAAAAGGTAACTTCAGGTGAATTCATGAGCCAGGGTGGAATTTCTATCGTTCCTAATGACTGAATTTCATCAATATCAATATTTTTGTTTTGCAAAAGAGCGGAAATTTTAATACCGAATGGTGGAATGGTTTTGGTTTGTTTTCAAACAAAGTTTTATATTTTGGATCAAATAGAAGTGAAAAAGCAGGATTTGAAGGATTTGACCTTAGCTGAATGGTGTATTGCAAAGCCAATTTATTTCGACGGCTATATAGTGATGGTTCATTAGCCTCTACATAGAGGCTTGCTGAAGGTGTTGTCTTAAAAGCTCCGAGAGCGAGCCAGAGACCTTGGTGATGAACAGTGTCTAATAATTTGAGATATTAAAGTCTAGCAGATCCATACACAATGGAACCGTAGTCTAATTTTGATCTACTAAGAGCTCTATAAAGTCTTAGCAAAACTTTTCTATCAGCTCCTCAATCAGTGTGGGACACAACCTTTAGAATATTCAGTGTCTTAAGGCATTTGGCTTTAAGATAGTTTATATGTGGCAGGAACGATAATTTCCTGTCAAATATTACACCTATGAATTTCGTTTGCTCAACAACTGCTAAAGGTAACCCACAGTAATTGACTTAAAATCTTATTTTTCAAAATATTTTTGTTGGAAACAGCCTTGATGTGAAGTGCTAGGCACAATGTCCTGATGAAATAAATCATTTACCTAAAGAAGAGAAATTCTTCATCGGTCGTATAAATCCCAGCATGACTGTTTTCAATGTACTGCCATAGAAATCTTCCTCAAATTTGTGGATGATGTGTGTTTCCTGAAAAGGAACAGGAAACAGTGTTAATTGTATCAATTTAGATAAACTATAATGAAACCTGTATTAGTTACCACCTTTAGAGATTGGCCAGGTGTCTATAAAGACTAGTTTTTGGTTTCCTGTGTAACACAAATCTTTATAATTGAATCTTTATTTAATGGATAACTGGCTATACAGGCCACTTTTCTCTGCTCCCATGCACAGCCTTTATACACAGGTGTGACTGTGTCACATCTTACTGTAATTAAACCTCTATATAACAACCACCTATGTATACAATGTATAGGCCTCTTATACACAGGTGTGACTGTGTCACATCTTACTGTAATTAAACCTCTATACAACAACCACCTATGTATACAATGTACAGGCCTCTTATACACAGGTGTGACTGTGTCACATCTTACTGTAATTAAACCTCTATACAACAACCACCTATGTATACAATGTACAGGCCTCTTATACACAGATGTGACTGGATCATTGCTCTGTTAGAATCAACAATATATACTTACTACAATATATATCTCATGTAAAATTGGCCATTAATGCTAATATGGTACATGCTATCACTGTACATCATATATGTTGAATGATATGAATTCATATCCTAGATTGATGAAACTACAAAAGGCATATAGACCTTGAATAGATAACCTAGTTTTGACATTTCTACAGAACAATTTCAATCAAAGAATTTGCTAAATAACAGTATTTCGTATTAGGTCCTGCCCTTAAGGCCCCTGGGGGTCAGATTCAACTTTTACACAAAACAGAATCAATTTCCACCCAAGGGTGCATCTCAACAAATTTAATGAAAATCTGCTCCATCATTAATGACAAGTAGCAAATTGAAGAACATGGTAATGGTTGGATGGATGCCGTGTGTAGCTCATAAATATCTGTAAGTAAAGTGTGTCTAACCAAAACTAATATTTTGAAATGTAAAAATGAAACTCACCATTGATCTTTTTTCGTTTTTGTAGTATGGATTATTGCCTATACTCATCACCATTTTAAACACAGTGCCATTATCGACATTAGCCCAGCCATAGTACACACCTCCCTGTATCTCCTGTGGTAGCCGTTCTACTACATCCTCTGGGTAGTTTGCTGAAAAATTAGAGAAAGTTGTGTTAAACCCAAATATACCTTTAGATTTGACGTATCTATCCATTTATTTACATTAAAAAGTATATGAAAATGATGTAAGAAGGGAGTCAAATAACCAGCCTGTCCCTTGTTCAGGAAAGTGATTTTCTACATATTGTTTGACCTTTGACCCTTCAACCTTGATTGATGACCATCAATATCAACAAGGTGTAGAACTCATGCTGTATGATTTGAATATGAACACTAAATCTATGTTAAGACATCATGTGAACAAGAGTAAAGACTTCACGATTTTATTTATTCTAGTGTGAACTTGTATGACACACAACGTGATAAAGACTAAAGTACATGCATGCTCCTATCTCTAAACCTCTTCAATATCTGAAGTGAGATGACATTTTAAAAATTGGGCCACAGAGATCAGATAGTTTTCTATCTAAACATATGGATTTGAAATTTTCACATCAAAACAATCAACATAAGCTTATCAAAAAGATTTTTTTTATGTTGTTTTATCACCACATGAAGCTGCATTACATGCAATCTGAAGCAGTGTATTATTCGGGTAAAGTGTCTTGCCCACAAACACATACTGGCACTGACTCCAGACCAGATCAGACTAAATTCAGACTACAGGAGACAACCACGAAGGCACAAGACTGTCCTTGAGTAGTGACTTCAGCTTCCTAAAGAAATACAAACTGCCTGTTTACCTGGGTTTACTCTGTAGCTGGCAGTGCAGTCATTGGAATACATCTGCTGTATTTGGCAGTAACGGAAACAATCTTTGTATTAGCATGTGGATTAATTTGATAAAATTACTTTCTGATATACTTAAAGTCAATCAAACAGGCGAATGGTGGTAGCCACATTGCCAAGTGTCAACCTGTGTCAGTCTGAAGCTGATAATCTTTCTCGTTTTTCAAAAAGTGCTACTTAAATAATTTTATAAAAAGTCTAATTTTAAGCATAACAATGCTTGCCTGAAATCAGCGCATGGAAGAAAATAACGAAATTTTTAACCAGTCCCTTTACATACTTCATTTAAAAACATACATAATAGTTTCAATGAGTGGTTTTATTTGTTGTGGCAAGTGTTTTTTTTATGAATATTCATAAAATTGCTTTGTATATCCAATGATATGTGGAACTACACAGAGTAATTACTTTGATGTGCATTGTCAGACACATTTCAGCATAGCATCAACATCAGGTATACAAAGATTGTGTCAGACACATTTCAGCATAGCATCAACATCAGGTATACAAAGATTGTGTCAGACACAGTTCAGCATAGCATCAACATCAGGTATACAAAGATTGTGTCTGACACATTTCAGCATAGCATCAACATCAGGTATACAAAGATTGTGTCAGACACATTTCAGCATAGCATCAACATCAGGTATACAAAGATTGTGTCAGACACATTTCAGCATAGCATCAACATCAGGTATACAAAGATTGTGTCAGACACATTTCAGCATAGCATCAACATCAGGTATACAAAGATTGTGTCAGACACATTTCAGCATAGCATCAACATCAGGTATACAAAGATTGTGTCAGACACATTTCAGCATAGCATCAACATCAGGTATACAAAGATTGTGTCAGACACATTTCAGCATAGCATCAACATCAGGTATACAAAGATTGTGTCAGACACATTTCAGCATAGCATCAACATCAGGTATACAAAGAAGACACATTTCAGCATAGCATCAACATCAGGTATACAAAGATTGTGTCGGACACATTTCAGCATAGCATCAACATCAGGTATACAAAGATTGTGTCGGACACATTTCAGCATAGCATCAACATCAGGTATACAAAGATTGTGTCGGACACATTTCAGCATAGCATCAACATCAGGTATACAAAGATTGTGTTAGACACGTTTCAGCATAGCCTCAACATCAGGTATACAAAGATTGTGTCTTCCTGGAATTACCTGGCCACCTGTATAATACACCTGGACCTGTTACTGGCTTTACTGGGACTGATTGGCATTTCTGGACAGTAAAATATTCTGTATTCTGTTGAAATCAGAACTGTATCGTGGAGTTGTTTTAACCAATGCACTACTCAGTCAGGAGGAGTTTCAACAGGCCATAGTGGCAGAAAGAGCCATGTTCCGTCGGAGACTGAATTAGAGGAAAATATTAAAACAGACATGGAACCAAGTATAAAACAAGAGTTGGATGAGGTTGTCAGCAAAGAAGATTCGAAGAAAATGACAGCAGAATTAATGAAACTATCTTATGTTAAAAAGATGGTGTCTGAAATAGCCTCTGAGATAATGGAACAGTTAAAACGTGAAATGATGAAGGACATGGAAAAACAAATAATTTCAAAGACAGCTAAGATGAGAGAAGAAATGGACATTTTGAACAACAAGAACTACAGATTACAGGAGTCAGTCAGACAGATGGAGAGAGAAATATAAACTCTAAAACAGGAACATGAAAATACATGTGAGGAGCTAGAGGCCCAGAGTAAAGAATTGGAGGTCAGGTCTTTGGATATTGAAGGAATCAGAAAAGGAAATTAAAATGATCAATATAGTCATAGAAACAACTTGAAAGTTATGAACATGGAAGAACTGGACACAAGAGAGAATGAAAACCGGAGAGACCTAGCTAAGGATTTTGATGAAGCCATTAATCACAAGGTGTCAGAAGGAAATATCAGCCCTGGGGATCTGGCCGCAATTCCCAGAATTCCCAGAAGAGACATCAAATAAACCCAGGCCAATAGTGGTAAAATTCTGGAAAAAGGATAAAAAACTTTTGTAATGAGTAATAGAAGAATCTTGTCAGATCTCAGAGTGGTCAATGACATTACCAAGGACAATGTACTACTGATTAATTCACAGAAGGAAAATTCACAAATTGACAGTGTTTGGTACTTTAATGGAAAAGTGTTTGCAGAAAAAGGTGGAAGCCAATTGGCTTATTTGAAAGGGTTGAAAAAGTGTTCAAATAGTCAGGGACTGTGATAGGAGGGACTGTATATGGACAAATAAAATTACTAAATGTGAGAATGTGTCTAACGAGTGTAGTGAAACTATCTTCTCCATTTATATGGAATGGATACAATAGTAATTCACTCTAAATTTTGGTGTAGTGTGTTATTATCTCTAGCAGAATTAAAGTGTCCACCAAACACACCTGAAGAATTCTTAGCTTTGTACTTCTCCAGAAAGTAAACCACTGTATCATGTGGAGAAATTTTGGTCTGGCTACAGTTAACAATTTGCATGTATTTATAAATACATTACCCAATTTTTGGGAAGAGATACGACATGTGGTGCATCTAAATATTATTGAATACCATGCAATTTTTCAAAAAAGGAATGAAAATTGGAAAAATGAATATAGAATTGCACATGTGAATGGTGAAACATTTACCCCAATCAAAAATGATGTTGTTCAGGAAATGTTAGATTTGAAAGACCAAAAATTCTTAAACAGACTTTTCTTCAAACATAACATTAACCTGTTAAGAGTCAGGAAAAGTGGAAAAATTTGATTTGGAAAATATTTAAAATATTGCATTTTGTTGTACACAAGAGACTAAGTTAAAACCATTAAGGGACAGACCATAGAACTTTTAGTTAATGCTCTGAGACTTGAACCATTGGGGGACTGACCATGGAACTTTTTGTTAATGCTCTGAGACTTGAACCATTGGGGGACAGACCATGGAACTTTTTGTTAATGCTCTGAGACTTGAACCATTGGGGGGACAGACCATAGAACTTTTTGTTAATGCTCTGAGACTTGAACCGTTGGGGGACAGACCATAGAACTTTTTGTTAATGCTCTGAGACTTGAACCGTTGGGGGACAGACCATAGAACTTTTTGTTAATGCTCTGAGACTTGAACCATTGGGGGACTGACCATAGAACTTTTTGTTAATGCTCTGAGACTTGAACCATTGGGGGACAGACCATAGAACTTTTTGTTAATGCTCTGAGACTTGAACCATTGGGGGACTGACCATAGAACTTTTTGTTAATGTTCTGAGACTTGAACCATTGGGGGACAGACCAGAGAACTTTTTGTTAATGATCTGAGACTTGAACCATTGGGGGACAGACCATAGAACGTTTTGTTAATGCTCTGAGACTTGAACCATTGGGGGACAGACCATAGAACTTTTTGTTATTGCTCTGAGACTTGAACCGTTGGGGGACAGACCATAGAACTTTTTGTTAATGCTCTGAGACTTGAACCATTGGGGGACTGACCATAGAACTTTTTGTTAATGCTCTGAGACTTGAACCATTGGGGGACAGACCATAGAACTTTTTGTTAATGCTCTGAGACTTGAACCATTGGGGGACTGACCATAGAACTTTTTGTTAATGCTCTGAGACTTGAACCATTGGGGGACAGACCAGAGAACTTTTTGTTAATGATCTGAGACTTGAACCATTGGGGGACAGACCATAGAACATTTTGTTAATGCTCTGAGACTTGAACCATTGGGGGACAGACCATAGAACTTTTTGTTAATGCTCTGAGACTTAAACCATTGGGGGACTGACCATAGAACTTTTTGTTAATACTCTGAGACTTGAACCATTGTGGGACAGACCATAGACCTTTTTTAAGTACAGCCTTTTTATCATGTTTATATCTACCACGACATTTACCAACACTAAAGGTTTTGTTGTGGCTGGACTCTCTTCCTCTTAGCCTCTCCACTCGCTCAGTAGCGACCAAGAATTCTAAGAGGTCATGTGACGTTTCAGTGTGATGTATGTGTGTGGGTGCGAGTTTGAGGATCTGTATGTGTGCATGATTTGTGAGTGTGTGTGAGATACAGGTACCAGAGTGAACATATGATAAAACCACAGAAGGATTATACAGGCCAAGATTATATGTTTCTTTTCCCATAAAGGACGAGCACATGCAACTTATTAATATATAATGTGTGATTTGTGCATATTTTGGGTCTGTGGATAGGTGGAGGCCACTGTGTATGTGTGTTAATCTATATCCGTGTTAAGAGAAAATATCATCAGTGTATTCTATACATTGGGTGTTGGTAGTTGTGTGACTAGAGTTGGCCAGGTCTGTATAGAGTATCTGCACCATTGTATTTATCAACAGTGATTATAGATGACAAAGAAAATATTGAAATGTTTGAAGGATTTGAAGGAAGTATATGAAAGCTGACATAAAGGGCCAAACCTTGGCAGTCTTCCAATACAAATATGAATACATGGCACAGAATAAATAAAATATATGGCCAGTGTCTGTGCTTATATCATAACACAATAGCCATGTATTGTCTTTTCATTTCCTCTTAATGAAGTGAGACAGGTACACTGGCCACAGGAGACAATTTGTTTCCTCTCTGGTGCAAAGAAGTAAGAATGGTCTGATAAAGGGTGGCATTAATTAAAGTCATTGATATGTCGTTCATACAATTTCAATGACATTTAAGTAGTCCTATACTATCTATCTTTATAGGTTTAATTCATGATATTTAATAATTGGAGACTTAGTATTTTATATAACCATTTGTAGCCCCTGGAGTATCGAGGATGCAACAAAATTACAACACTCCTATAATCACTGGTCAGCTGATTTATGATGTAACTGTTTTGTGATCTGTCATCAATTTCTCACCATATACACCTCTTACATTGTTGTATTACTATATGTGTTTTGTTATGTAGTTGATGTACCTTTTAAAACTTATTTCTCGTTGCTAGCACGGGTTTCCTGCTTGTATTGGAAAACCTATCAGGCAAACTCTAGGGTATTTAAATTTAATTCCCAGACGATGAAATGTTTGCTAGTAAGCCCCCAGATAACCCGGCACGTTGTTAACATCGTTCCATTTTGTGCACGTTAACCTTACTCACTTCCTGAATGACAAATATGTCGCGTCATCAAATATCAAATTACAGCATGTCTACATGTCACGTACATTTTACTACAGCCATTTTTGCTATACCTTTCGTCTATTATAGTTCACTAGCAAGATAAAATACACACGTGATGTGGTTAGTAATTATTACGTACAGCTGACAAATAATTGTCAATAAAAACTTCGAGAATGATCGATCGAGTACATATTGTTTTGTACCTGTTGGTATTCCGAGTTCTTTACTGCCTCGTCCAAATCCCTTGATTACCCTTCCCACAGCACAATACGGAAAACATGACATGTCGTCTGTAAATGTTTCGTAACGTGTGTCTCATACCCATGGATGTCAAAATGAGGCTGACGGCGCACAGGCAGCGCCATCTACGTAGTGTATACAATATGGCGGCGAAGCATTGTTGTGTGCCACTATGCTGTAATGACAGCAGACATGGGAAGGATATCTCTTTCCATGTTTTTCCTAAAGACCATTCAGTAAGGAAGAAATGGTTAGTCTGCATCAGACGAGATGAAGGTCCTATGTTCAAGGTATGTGTATAATAAATAGGTTAAGCTAAAACCATTCCTGACCTTCCGCCGGAAAATCGGAATGCACCCCTACCCCTACTCCTCTACATGTACGTATAAGTGGTCTTAGTCCGCTATGTTGCACGGCGCCAGTCAGTATTATTTCGCCGTGTTAAACCTCTAACATTGTTGGAGTACCCTACCCCTAACAGTCTCACACACACATCCCGTTTCATCCCTTAAACGGGATGTATAAACAATAACAACATGTACAGCTGTACTGCATTTTCAACTAAGGCCTTCCATATATGTTCCCACATGCATCTTCACACTGAAATTCCTGACCTAGATATCAGTACACAGCTAGTAAACACTGACCAGGAAATGATTATGGAAGGGGGTGAGGATACCATACAGGTAAAACTTTACCAAAAGCAGTGTATTTGTGGTGGTGGTGAAGGGGGCTGTTTGAAGGGTGTCATCCTTCTTGTCCCAAAATTGAAAAATCAGGTAAAAATATTTTTTGGGACAAACAGGATTTTGTATGTATAAGTCTGTAATGGCTAAGAAAACAAACCAGGTAAATTTAGCACTACATTATACTATAATATAATGTACATTTTATATCATTTTACAATTATACTTACAACATAATTTAACTTGGAAGGATGTGATATAGTATACATTTTATGTTCAACTATACAGTTCAGGACATAACTATAGAAATCAATGAAACCAATAAATTTACACAATTCAAAATAAACCGAAATCAGTCCATGTGCAACAGTTATGTGGCTCTGCCTCCGTAGTTGATGTAGTCGATGTCGTTGTTTCGTAGGACAGTTTTCAGTTGGATAAGACGGTCATTTAGCATTTTGTAGCGGCGTCTCTTTGACACAGGCAGTCCTCCAGCAGTACGTTGTAGGCGGTTAATGTAATTGGTAGCTTGAATGTCTTTCAATTCTTTGAGGAATATGAAGATGTTTGGATGTGCATGTGGAATATTTTTTCTTGAGTTTGCTATGCCATCCTTCCAAGTTGTTTGTTGTCCTGGGTCCATCGTTGTCAAAGTGGTTCCAAACTTGTTGGTCTCCTTCTATCCATTGGGTGGTGACATAGTTAATGAATGGTGTTGTATCTACGAGTAGGTCGACGTCTTCAAGGTCCTCCAAGGCGTTGAACCAGTAGTCCTGGATGTGATGTGGTGGTATTAGTGGAAGGAGGGCGGCTCGGCGAATCAGTCTGTGGATGTCTTTATTTTCCGTGTAGTAGGTCTTGAGTCCAAATAGCTGGATCTTTCTCCAAATACATTTGATCATCTATCATAGCATGGATGTGTACAGCTGGCTGAAGAATCTTGGGCATGTGTAGAAAGTTCAATCGCAATAGAGTGTGTCGGTAGTTGATAGAATCTCCAGGTTTGTTGTAGTGGCAAAAGCTAACATCCGTGTGTTGTCACTGTTGTCATCGAATAGGAGAAACTGGTCCCTGGTGTTGGTCTGTGTCCATTCGTCCTCTAGAATAGTCTCTGCTGCTGAGGTTGGGAGCTTTGGTAGAAGTATGGCTCTGCTGTGGTAGATGGATGTCTTACACGATGTGTAGGTGGGTATCTGTTCCGCCAGTTGTCTAGTCTCATCTGTCCAGTTGTGCGTCTGTACTTCGGCAATTTCTTCGTCATAGATGGTTGGTACGGACTTCAGTTCCTCTTTGTATCTTTTCTTAATGTTGTTCATAAGCTTCTGTACTTCTCCTTCGAAGTGGTTGGGTGGATGGCTGTGTTGGTGACCTAATTTTCCTGGGATGTCATTCGTGGTGGTGATTGTTGCAGGGCAGTTTCGAATGCAGCACCTCCAGTAGGTAGTTGTTCTTCAACATGTAGCGGAATCCGGCCTGAAGTAAAGTCCTACCCCCTCGCTTATTGGTTGTGAACTGAACTTGAACTTGATAGTTTGCCATGTTTACAATGATACTGTTCCCTTCCAGTGTCTGATATATATATATGCTTGGGTATTTCTACTCACTCAGGATGGCTTGGAAGTTCACCTCATCCTAATGGTGACTACTGTTCCGGTACAGTTATGCATATCTAGCTTGGGTGTTCAATTTTTATATAGGGCTTGGATGTTCATTACTTCCTCTTATTCCACTTACCTGTTTTAGGCAACCATTTGTTTTTTCACATTTTTTTTAAAATGTGTTATTAGATATTTTAAATTTGAATTTTTAAAATATATATATGTAATACAAATTGAAATTATATAAAATATTTTAAAGATATATTTTCACAAAATCATTTGTTTCTGATATCCTATTTAGATTATTTTATTTACTTCATATTAATTATTCATACATGCATATATATTAGTTAACGTTAAAATAATATTTGTATTCTGTCACTGAGCCTTTGTACACAAATATAACACTTTACAAAATAGTTTTTACTGATTCAGTAGATACTACATGAACAAAAAGAATTTACATAATACAGTTTGGTTAGGTCTATATAAAATGTCCAAATGTCCAGGTCGTAGCTTGACAGCTCAGGAGATGCTACAACAAATAGATTGAGAGCTATAGGTCACACATGACCGATCACCATCCTGTACATGTGTGGAACGTTCCTCGAACATGGGGTAAGTATCCTTGAGAATGGGTAAGTATCCTTGAGTATGGGGAAGTTTCCCAGAACAGGCGGAGTTACTTCCACAAAATTGAGGAAACTCCCACAAAAGTATTCACCAGTGTGATCAGCTGATTATTGTACATTGTCAAATTTATGTTAAAGAGTATACTATATATACTGGCTAAAGTAACATTAATAATAAAATTGGAACTTGAGGTTATTTCACAGGTTCTCTTACAGAATGAACCATAATGTTTTTTTTTTTTTTTTCTTTGTTCAATTTTGGGAGTTCCTTTATATCAGGATATCTTACATTTTTGGAAATGTTTTTTCAGACTATCCTTCCTTTTCCAGAACATTTTAATGCTAACTAGTCTATATCAGTTCCCTGTATTGAGATATGTATCGTATCGTTTTGACTTTTCCAATACATGCATACCCAGCCCTAATGCTACCCCCCCCCCCCCAATTTATTGTTTTAATAGAAGCACCATTAAATTCTGAATGTTCATTCAATAACCTTAAAATAATAAAATAAAACATAATTGCCAACCTATAACATGTATAACGGACAGACCATAATTATTTTTTGAGATAATGGCCGTTTTTTTTTAGGTTATCTGACCTGAAGGGTGTGATAACCTATAGTCATCATGCTTCGTCTGTCGTCGTGCGCCGTCCACTAACCTTGACATACTTTCAAGGTCACAGGGGTCAAAAGTCTAAAAAAAACTCTTTAAGAAACTTCTTCTGAATAACCAGAAGGCTCAGGATACTGATATTTGGCCTGTAGCGTGCATGGATGAAGGGCTAACAAGTTTGTTACAATGAATGACCTTGACCCTCTTTCAAGGTTACAGGGGTAAGTGTTTAAAACCTTTAAGAAACTTCTTCTGACTAACCAGAAGGTCTAGGGTAATGATATTTGACCTGCAGCATGCTTGGATAAAGGCTTACCAAGTCTGTTCAAATGGTTGACCCAGACCCACTTTCAAGGTCTCAGGGGTCCAATTTGTATAAAATGTAAGAATTTTTTCAGTAACATCATTAAGTATTATAAACAAACAAATAACCTTTGATGTTCATATTGGGCCTATTATCAATATGATAGATTAGATGGTTACTTGATCTTGATCCTTGAGCCTGAATAAAGGTGAAATGAGTTCAAAATCTTCAAATCTTCCGTTTTTGTCAGATGACCATTAAGGCCCATTGGGCCTCTTGTTTCCCTCAATATTTGTCTGTGGAAACAGAAATTGACTCAACTTAGCAATAAAAGCATGTGAAAAGGAGTATCTTGAATACTTTCCCATTTGATATCTATATATATCAGCAGTTATAAGTGAGTTTAGTGTGAATATTTCATTTCAATTTGAACCGTTTTAAAAGTTGTTCATAAATGTACCATCATGTTTACAGGTACAAATTCTACATATATGTGCTCAGAGCATTTCCCATCGGACTCCTTCAAAAGGACATTGACTAGAATAAGAAAGCTGAAAGAGGGAACCATCCCAACTGTGTTCAAATGGAGCAAGGCAAAAGCAGAAAGACCACCTCCTAAGAGCCGTCCATTCGTCCTGTGAGAGATTTTTTTTTAGTTTAAACGTATTTTTATCTTTTCAACAATTTTTTGTTTTCTTTCAATTACCTGATAACAAAGAAGCGTATGGTAGCTTATTGTGTTTGTAGATTAATTAGTGATCCGATATAAATGAAAAATTCAAGTACCATCAATTGGTAATTTAATAGTGAACCTTTTCCTATACCCTCCCCCCACCCCTGGTATATTATAAATATCTTTCAAAAATAAAATAATACTGAAAATATCACATAAGACAGGATATTGGTTTTGTTATTGTACAAAAAATCTTTTTATTTTGGTAATTTGATAAGAAAATAGACACAATTGAAAAAAATACATGGATATTTACTGTTTAAACTTTAAAAGTGATATTTCATGCAGCTGCCCTATTAATACAGATTTTGTCAATAAATGATGAAGTACAAATGTATGTTAACTAGTTAGTGAATTGTTTCTTTTGCAATGAGCATAGGAAACAACAATAAATCTTTGACTGTGAAAATGCAAGGGTATTGGTCAGAGGCATGAACTTTTCACTTTTACAGTATTAAAGTAAATTCAATGTAGAACTGAACTTTTTCTTTTTACAATTTACATGTTTTTTGTTGTTAATTTAACAAACCAGATACATCATGTACATTAAATGATCTTGATTGCATATAAAACATTTGAATTATAACTTCTTCATTTCCTTTTACATTTTTTTGTAATGTAGGGCATTGGTGTCAGATTTGACAGTGGAAAGCAGCCAGGGGTTTTGAGACCTGCCTGGTACATGTGTATATATATGTAAAGGAAATAAAAGATTTATTTAAAAAGACTTGAATATTAAAAATAATTTCTTACTACTCTTGGTGCACAATCTAGTAATGTCTTCCTTGTATAACATGCTTCTGCTACATCAAAAGGCATCTTTCACAATTTGATTAATCAAATGATCAAGAAGTATCCAAATTTTCTTCAAATTTGTTGAAATTTTATGTTGATTTTCCTTTGTTTTGCATGTACACTCAGAGTTTTGTATTTGGTACCGTCCAATTAAGTTTGGATGCTGGGTTCGAGTCCCAGAGGGCTCACTACAACATGTATGTAAGCGATATTGAAATTTTATTTTTAAACAAAGTGAAAATCAACAAAGTTTAAAACATTACCTAGTTATCAAAACAAACAGGTATGTACAGTATATATATGTTGCTTTTAAGTTACTGGTAAACTACCTGGTGCATGTAATTGTATGATGACAAAATCTAATTTTACATGTTATATCAATTTTTTTTTTCAATAATTTCATGTGTTAAGTACAGATATATTATGTATAAATATCACTCTTCTTCGGTGTTTAATTATTACAGGTTACCAGTATTTTACTGCTTTGATTCTATGATTTGGCAACTCTGCTGTGATACTTAATTCTTGTTTTCAGGATTTTGAAAATTTGGGTTTTTTTTGGCAGAGATCAGGAAAATCATGTCACAGAGAGGGAAGACATTGCAGCTCCTTGTGGTAAAGCTGATTTCCAGCCAGTTCCAAGCCAGGACCATGACTATGTGACCGATCCGGTTCCAGTGACCGATGCAGAGAAGCTTCAGCTTGCCGAAGAATATATAGCAGTACTTGAAGCTAAGCTTCATGAACAAATTAATACAAGATTTTGTATTGAAAGGTTTATAACTGATGAGTGTACTTTAAATATGTACACTGGTTTTAAGTCATATGCATGTTTGAAAGCTGTATTTGAAAGTTTAAAGCCAACTGCTACAATTATGACACGCTGGAGTCAGGTTCAGCGTATGCGGGGAGGTGTTGACAGTAGAGATGAGCCATTCCGCTGTGAAACACTTCCCCTTATTGACCAATTTTTTTTATTTCTGTGTCGTATACAAAAAGGTTTTAATGGACATGATCTAGCTATCTGTTTTGGAGTGTCAACTAGCACAGTTAGTAGATTACTAATCACATTGGTCAACTATTTGTATTTCATGTTGGGAAGCTTGCCCATTTGGCACCCAGAAGCAGGGTGAATGAAACTATGCCTGAATGTTTTCAAGTCACATACCCAAACACTAGGGTGATTGTGGACTGCACTGAGCTGCGTGCCCAAACTCCTAGTGCTAAGGTATTGAATTCAGAAACTTATTCTAATTACAAGTCACACACTACATTTAAGGGTTTAATTGGTATAACACCATGTGGTGCAATCTGTTTTGTTAGTGCTTTACACACTGGATCCATATCTGACAAGGAAATCACCAAAGTGTCAGGATTAGTAGATCTCCTTGATGTTGGAGATGAGGTGATGGCTGACAAGGGATTTCTGATACAAGATCTCTTGCAGCCAGCTGGTGCTAACCTTGTCATTCCACCTTTTCTTGGTTTGAAAGGCCATTTTTCAAAAAGTGAGGTGAAAAACACACATGAGATTGCTAGATTAAGAATCCATGTGGAGAGAGCAATCCGAAGGTGTAAAGAGTGTAAAATTTTTGATTCAGTATTGCCCCTCACTCTGGCTGGTTCAATTAATCAGGTGTGGACTGTATGCTGTTTGTTGACAAATTTCAGGGGTAAATTGTTTTGAGATATATTATATATGAATGTGACCAGTTAGGACTATTCCAGTAAAACATCTACCTGACCCGATGACTCCAAGAATGAATTGCTTCTGTCTATGGTTTGGTTTCCTACCTCTTACTTCTATTATATATAAAGGAAATTGTCAAAAGAAATTCTATGGGTGGTATCCCGAAACAAAACCTGGAGTATCGAGGAAGATTTCTGCAAAGGGAGGTTACTCTTAAAACATTGTGCCGTTTTTTGCCGGGTTGCACATAGTGCAAATCCGGGTTATAGTATGGCGAATGGCGGGCGGGCAGGTGGGCCGCTGGGCAGGGAAAAGGGGTACCAGTTTTATAGAATCAACTCCTCCTAGAGTTTTTGACGTAGAAACTTGAAACTTTGTAGGATGTTTATACATATGTTGAAGATGTGCACCTTCTATTATGGATTCATTCCGGACATTTTCTGGATTTTCCGGGCTTTGGAACTTAGTCATTTTCCGCATATAAATCACTTTGGGTCTTAGATGTCCATTGTCTATTTTTAAGAACATCTCTGAATCAAAAATATCTGTTAACTTCTTTCTTCAAATGCCCTTCTTCTGCACCAATTCATAAAATACAGCCAAACTTTCTCTCTTTTAACAAATATTCTACATACTCAACAAATGAAACATCCTTAACTATCTTGTAAATACCATATAACATTGCACTCATCCCGCAACCAGGACAATTGTGGCTTTGCCCCAATTTTTATTATTATTACTGCTATCTTGACGGCCCGTCAACACATAAAAGGTCATTAGGGCCATCAACTGGCGAAACACACAGCGATCCAAAAAGGAAATAACATCAAACAAACTACAAAGTAAAAGACAAATGCTTAAAATCATAAATGGATAGATTATCACAATAGATTATAGTGGTAAGTCATATTCTATAATATAGACCAACATCTTTCAGATAACACAGAATGTTTTAAATCTCAAGTTTCAAAAAGGGTCTTTAGACTGGTAATTTTACAATTTAAAAAATTCTCGAGTAGACAGAAGGTCAATGCAGTCCAATGAAAAATGTTTAACAGTAAATGGCTCATCACATCACACGCACCAATGATTATCTTCGCTTTTCAACATATAAGAATGCGTATCTTTCGAATTAGTGGAAATAGAAGGGACGATGAGAAATGGACATATAACAACCAATAGTAGTACACGAGTTCAATTATTTGGAAATGTTGAATTTTAATGGGAAATTTAATCACTCAGAAACATACTGCTAATTAAGGAAGAAAAACTTTATTTGCAATTAGTAGTAAAAAGAAGAATAAAAATTTTAATATTAACACAAAGTGTTCAGTTTTTGATACGTATGTATGTCAATAGTCACGTTACATCAATAGAAAGTTAAAAGTACTAAAATACTGGTTAAAATTAAAAGAATCCAAAAATTGTATACTGGCGACATGTTTAGAAGAGCTATTAGGAATGAATGATACTTGGCTGAACAATATTAAACTAGAACTAGATAAATTAATCTTATCTTATATTTGGAATATTGATACTGTAAATACTAACATATATATAAAATAATAGAACAGCGATTTAAGTATTCTTACACACAGGAAATGAGAGCAAGAATTCAAAATGCTGCCAGAGGTGACCTATATAAACATTTGATCGATAATTTTTGCATGAAATTTTATTTACTAAAACCCATCGATTATACTTATAAACAGTGTTTAGCAAGCATTAGAGTGTCGTCACATCAGTTGAAAATTGAAAACGGGCGCTATTTTAACATTGAAAGGAGACGCAGAATATGTGAATGCTGCGAAAACAATGAAATTGAAGACGAATTTCATTTCATACTCCAGTGTGTTTTTTATAAAGAATTAAGACAAAAAGTATATTAAAAATATTATAAATCACCTAGCGTTTTCAAACTGGTACAGCTGTTAAGTATAGATAATGTGAAGGACTTAAATAATCTTGGCAAATATATTTATATATATATCTATTTAGCCTTTAAGAAAAGAAAAACACACTTCAGAAGATAATGGTGATTACTCTTTAGTTATTCCTGAAACAATGCAAAGTGGAAAATGAATAATAACTGATATATTGATGTATACACATATTTTCACCCATTTTACTAACTTGTTGCTTGTAAAAAAATAAATTCGTTTGATTAATTTATATTAAATATAACATTAAGACTTTTGATTTGCAATCAAAGTGATTTGTCTGTCATTTGGCGTGTGGCTAAGATAAAATGGTATCATATAACTGCATGTAAGAAGAACATTGTTAAAACTATGTGCATACTAGGATAGAAAAAGGTATAACATCTAATATATATTTATTGTGCATGCATTTAAGAAAGAGAAAATATACCAACTCGTCATCATTATATACCTTATAATACGAAGCATCTCGGGTGATATTGTATATCTATGTAAAGCACTATTTTGGCCGTGAGTGAGGGCGTTTTTGTTGTGTGCGTGAGTGTTATGTATGTGTGTTACTAGATGTTTTCTACATTATTATGTACTACAGTACGTGTATGTACAAGAGATCACTCTCCAATTAACAGTATGCATAATTGTATAATCATGTATATAATTGTATACTTATGAGCCGTAAGGCCGTCGGAATAAAATTTGAATTGAAAAAAAAAATTGTAAGGTATGTATGGCCCATCCGAAGACGGGCAAGGGCAACTTCGTCTCGGTGGTTGTCTCTATAGCATGGAGACCATTTACCGATCATAGGTTTAACGGAGTGCAGTTTGTTTGACTGCTATCTAGTGATGGTTCGGTAGCCTCTACATAGAGGCTTGCTGTAGGTGTAGTCTAAAAAGCTCCGAGAGCGAGCCTGACACCTTGGTGATGAACAGTGTCTAATAAATTGAGATATGAAGGTCTAGCAGATCCATACTCGCAACTCGTGAGTGATATTGGGCGGTAACTGGAGGGATCTGTCGTGTCTTTATCCTGTTTGGGGATAGGAATCACAGTTGCCATTTTCCATGACTTTGCGACATTACATGATCAAAAAACATAATTGAAAATACCAAGAAGTTTTTATAAATGACTACTGTGGTAGATGGTTAAGAAACTTATGGTGAATATGATCAGGTCCTGTTGCAAAGTCATGTGATTTTGTCAACGATTCTCGAAGTTCTAACACTGAGAAAGGTTGATTGTAAGTTTCATTGTGTTCGGAAAAGAATTTCAAAATATGACATATAAGCTGTATTTCATGCTATTGTTACTCAATAATGTGACTATGGTATACAGTGTTTTATTTTAAATTTAAGTATGTAATATAACTGTAATTGTTTTGTCTTCTGCTAGAGGTATTATAAGTGAGGTCTTGTTATTTCACAATAAGCTGACCAGTTAAGTCATGCCTCAATGAGTTCTGTTATTCAAGAAATATCTTCTTATATTTCCTAACATTGTATTTTGTCATGAAGTGGTGAGTTCCGTGACTTAAGAAAAATCAATTTCCCCACATTGTATTTTTGTTTTTTTTTCATGAATTGGAGAGAATCGAATCTAAATAATGTAATATATTCTCCGCCATTGAACATGACATGTGTTTGTTTCGATCATTATGAAAATTATTGTATGCCTATATGCAGTGTGCATTTGGTAATAAAATTGAATTGAAAATTGAAAGCGACAATTACCTGAGCGACCGCTAGCAAATTACCGCAATCAAATTATAGAAGCATTCAATTACTACAGTAAGTAATATTTATTAAATATCATTGATCTTGAAAGAGCTATGAAAGTGGAATACACTGAAATCTTTTTTTGGTGTGTGTGGGGGGGGTTTCCAATTTTTGGGAGTCACACTTCAACTTCATTCCTCAAAAAACATTGGCAAGATACTTTATTATTTTGAATGCCTGCAAAAGGTCTCCTGTATGATGTTCAGCGAGATAGTCACTAACTGCTACTAAGAGACTCAACCTCAAAATATGACCTTGGCTGTTCACAGGGCAATAAACATAAACTAAAATCCAGATGTGAAAATTGGTTCAACACTCAGGTGCGGCTGAATCCTGTTTGTCCCAAAAACTGAAAAAAATGTGTCCCAAAAACATTATGTACACAGAGAGGGCAGTGTATTGTTATAACATTTAAGGCATGTTGTTGTAACAGGTAAAAGTAAAGAACTTTTATATATTTTATACTGGTAAACTTACACAGGTAAACCGTAAAGCTATCCGAAACATTTTGAAACATCAAATACAAATATCATTATAACGTAAACTAATATATATGCATGTATGAATAATTAATATGTATTAAATAAAATAATTTAAATAGGATATCAGAAACAAATGATTTTGTTAAAATATATCTTTAAAATATTTTATATAATTTCTTTTTGTATTATACATATATATTTGAAAATTTTAAAAATTCAAATCTAAAATATCTAAAATCACATTTT